AGCTAGTAAGTGTCTGAGGCTGGATTTGAACCCAAGAAGATGAATCTTCCTGACTCTAGGCCCAATGCTCTATCCACTGCTCCACTTAACTACCCTGGAAAGGTGGGGGAGAACCACAAATTCTGAGCTTGAGTTCCACTCCCCGACTTATACCATCTACAAAAATGGTATATATTAGGACTTCAAGGAATGCAGGATGCACCAGCTCGTTCATTCAACACTGACTAGTTTCCTAATGTGCTTCTCACATTTGTCTTTGGGTCAATGTGACTCAATAGCCAGGAAAGTTAATGTATTGTTAAGGCTGAATTAAATGGACCTGAAATGCGAAAACTGGAGAAACAGGTTTTCATTTGTATTTATGCCACTCAGGAAAGAGGAGGGCTGTCCTTCTCCTCACTTTCCAGAAACGGGAGGCCATTTGGCCTGGGGGAAGTGGTATAGGATTGTCAGTAAAATGTAAGCTTCCTAAAGACAGGGACCGTTTCCATTTTTATCATTGTGTCCTCAGCACCTAATACAGGGTCAGCTACCTAGTAGATACTTAATAAATGCATGTTGAATGAATGAACTCAATTCAACCCAGCAAGCATTTATTTACAGGTCACTTAGTCAGACAGTAAACATTTATGAAGTCCATGCTATGTGCCAGGTACTATGCTAAGCTCTGGGGATACAAAAAGAAGCAAAAGATCATTGCTGCCCTCAAGGAGCTTACAATCTAACAGAGGAGACAACAGGCAAACAAATATGTATCCAAAAAGTTACATATACATATAGGAAATAATTAACAGAAGGAAGGCACTAGAATTAAGAGGAGTTGGGAAAGACTTCCTATAGAAGATAGTATCCAGAAGGAGAAATGAGAAGAGCATTCCAGGCATGGGGACAGCCAAGAAAATGGCAGGAGCTGAGAGATGGAGTGTTTGGTTTGTGAACAGCAAGATCAAAGAGGTCATGGGGGAGTGTAAGGTGGTGGTGGTGGTGCTGTTTTAAGAAGACTGTAAAAGTGAACGTGGGTTGGGGTTTGGGTGAGTGGAATTATGAAGGGCTTTGAATACCAAACAAAGGGTGTTAGATTTGCTCCTGGAATCCATGGGAAGCCATTGAGTTTGTTGAGTGGGGAGTAGCATGGTCAAGACTGTAGTACCAGGTACCAGGCAATGTACTGGGGGCTGAAGATACAATGACAAAAATTGAAACAATCCCAGTCCTCAAGATGCTTACCTACTATCGGAAGGAGGGGAGAGGAACAACACGTACATAGAAAATTAAATAAAAAAAAAACTATCGAAATAACAATAACTAGCTTGTATACAGTGCCTTTAGATTTGTAAATTGTTTTACATGTATTTTCTAATCTCATCATAATCCTGTGAGGTAAGTGACGTTATTGTTCCCATTTCACAGATGAGGAAACTGAGGCAGAGGTTAAGTTACTTGCCCAGAGTCAAACAGCTAGTAAGCATCTGAGGCTGGATTTGAACTCAATGCTTTCTGACTCTAGATCTAGTGCTCTCTCTACTGTGCCACCTAGCTATCCTCCGTTTTATGGAATAGTTTTTAGATTAACCTATCAATGATAGCTCTTAATTTGTTGAAGTACTTGTTTTAAATAATAAGAATACATAAAGGCAACATGATAACAATGGAAAGAACCCTAAATTTGAAATCCAGAAGACCTCCGTTCAAATCCTTGCTGTGACACTTAGTGTTTGTGTAACCCCGGCCTCGGTTTCCTCATCTGAAAAATGAGGGGGTTGAACTAGTTGGCTTCTCTGATCTCTTTTTGTTCTGAATCTGTGAGCCTACAACATCTTAGTCTAATAATAAATATATCAGTTTATTAATGACTCAATTTCATTAAATTCTAGTAAGTATTAGAGGTGGGTTTTGCAGCCAAGTCTGGACCAAGGCCTCTTTCCATCATACTGCACTGTCACCGTGGAGTCCTTAAACTGGGGGCTGTGATTCCTTTGTAAGCCTATGTATTTTATTTTGTACATTTAAAAACATTATTCTGAGAAGAGATCAACAAGCTTTAGCAGATTGCAAGCCCCCTACTCAAGCCTTCCTATGATATTACTCGTCAGTTACACTGTCTATATGTTTTAAGTACATGGGTGTTTCTTTGTGATCTCCTCCCCTTAGGATGTGAGCTCACCAGAGCTGGGATTGTGTTTTTGCCTTTGTTAGAAGCCCAATGCTTAGCACAATGTCTGACACATTAATAAATGCTTGTTAACAATGATGATGATAATGATGATGATGATGATGATGATGGTGATGACAATGGTGATGATGGTGATGATGATGGTGGTGATGGTGATGAACCCCTACCTAGAGAGAAGACAAAAAATCCCTCATTGTAGCTCTTTGTTCAGCCTTCTCTCCCTTCCAGCAGAATGTAAGCTTCTTGAGGGTAGATTATTTCATTTTTATTTCTGTAACCCCAGCACTTAGTAGCCACTTGATACTTGTTGAACTGAACCAAATGGAAACCATTGATCTGTGATACCAACCAATAGTCCAAATGCTAGCTGTGCTCACGCCGGCTATTTCGGGGTGCTGATGGTTTCACGCACTAATGAACGAGAAAGCTCAATAACCTGAGTGATTCTAAAAAACCTTTGGGTGGAGAGTAGCATTTTTTCTAATAAAATTTTTGCCACATCACAATTCATTACTGAGACCTGCAAAGTCTGACAAGGGAAGCACAAAATGTGTCCTCATGTTGCTAGGCCAGATTCTATCTCTCAGAAATTAATGCTTTTAGTCACATTAAGCCTAGAAATAATGCTTTCTGACATAACAGTATTTCCCATTACAACCCCACTCTGCTGCATTGGTGCATAATTGGACTTGAAATACATTACCTAGGAAGAATATGTTTCTCTTTGAAACAGTCAAATATCATTAGAAATCCAAGGCTTGAAAAAATCACGTTGTTAACAGTTATGTCCCCTAGCAAAGTTTTGCTTCCCCTAAACAGTGTTAAGCCCAGACCCCACAGCCCCATCTCTCCTGAGTCTTTCCTCTTCACTGCACTGAAAGGAGAGTCCAGAATGTACTTAACATGGGCTGATTCTCCTTACGTCTCTCCTCTCACCTTTCTGAAACTCCGTTGATACTAAGTATTTTGTAGGTAAAAGGGTTCCACAGTTCAGTGGTTAGAGAACAAGGGGTTGTGAAACTAAGTGTCACAAGTTTGATTATGGCTAGAGTCTCACCTGTTTCAAAGACAGTGTGGCATGTGTTGAGAAATCCTGCTTCTGACATGTACTTTGCTACCACGGGCCAGTGACTGGACTTCTCAGTGCCCACAGACAATGATCTAAGATTGTAAGTCTCAGATGAATTGTCCATCGGTCTTGCTGAGGGGAATTTTTATCCTTGCCAATAAATTCATAGGTCTAGACAGAAATGTGTGTATACATACATTTTTGTGTATGTATATATATATATATATATATTACATATGCTCTTGATCTATCAGTTAAACATTTCTGGGCCTCAGTTTCCTCATCTATAAAATAAGGGCATTGGACTTGCCTGTTTCTGAGATCCCCCAGGTCCCACGATGGCTTCAAATGAAGTATTCCCACCAAAGATTTGTATGCCATTCTTCAGTGTTTGCCAGGGGATCTATCCACTGCGCCAGGGGCCTTCCTTTCTTTCTCTTGATATCACGTACACACAGGCTATCTATTGGTTACCCCTTGCGCCAAATACAAGACACTATTACTACTAATATTCTTATTAAAGGTGACCTTCAGCTACAACTTCTATTTTCCCTATTAAAAAGGATGCCAAATACATGTTTTCTACGAAGACTCTATTTGAAGGTAGGAAGAGTTATTTTTTAACCACATGATCCTACATTGTAGAAATGCAAGCTGGAAAAAATAGAACCCCCCCAATATATTTATACATGGTAGATTCTTCCAAGAAATGTTCGCCTTGGTTAAGGTTACCAGTCTGTCTTTAAAAAACCAGTAATAAGCCTAACCTGTAAAATCATAAGCTAGCAGAGATACAGAAGGTATTTTGAGCCAGGTCATTGGCAAAATGCTACAAAGCTGGGCAAATGCTAAACATTCTGATTTGGTTTCAAGTCTTAGCGCCAACTCCTTGGGATTCCATTAAAACTTTTCATTTCTTCATGAATAACAAACTCATCTACATTAGTTACAAAATCAAGAGACAGGAAATGGAAAATTCCCATCAGGATCCTTTATTGTTTTTGCTTCCAAGTTAGAACAAGATGGGATTTCCAAACTTGTGAAGATGTTCTCATTCATTCTGCTGGCCCCATCCCCTCCTCCTTTGTTCCACAGTTATGGTGGATGGCGGTGAGAACTGACCAACTGAGCCTTTGTTCACATTGAAGACTCAGGCTAAGTTCAGCGGAATCTCAGAAAAATTCCCTCCATTATTTGAAAAAGAAAAAATAAAGAGCTTCGCCATTTCCTTGTTCTTATTAGAACGCTTGAGAGGCATATGGCGGTGGATAGAAGGCTGACTGGTCAGAAAACCTGAGCTCAAATCCTGCTTCTCACGATGAATGACTGAGTGAAGGGGAAAAGTTACCTAACCTTTTAGCTCCCCAAATGACTCTAAATGCCAGTGGAGTTTCAAGATTTGCCTGGAGAAATGGTGTTTCCCCACTGGGAGTTCCTCAAAAGGAGATCCCAAGAGAAAGATGGAAAAAATTCAAATGCCTCCAGGAGGAGGCTCAAAGAGCCCCTCGTTCTTTCCCCACCTTTGTCTAACCCGGGGTGGGGAACCTGCAGCTCTGAGGCCACACGTGGCCCTCTAGGTCCTCAAGTGCAGCCCTTTGTCTGACTCCAAACCTCAGGGCTGCACTTGAGGACCTACAGGACCACATGTGGCCTCGAGGCCACAGGTTCCCCACCCCTGGTCTAACCACTCTTGCATTATTTAAAAAAAGGGATGGGTGGGTTTATTGTACACATTAACAGGACCGTACAGAACAAAAATACAAAGATTATAGACATTTATAGTAACAGCTCACGTTATCAAGTTCAGATGGAAGAGAGATTTCCAAAGGAAGCTTTCCAGAGGACCTATCTACAATGATGAAAGATAACTATCAACTTGAGAGCTTTCCTTTCCTCGTCCAAAGGGCTGTTCAAAGACCATATTCATTCTGGACCCCACGCCCTACAATTCTAAGTGATTTGATGGAATGTCTTGGCCCTATCCAAATTTTATTCCCCTCTATTTAGGAAAAAAAAAAAGAAAGAAAAAAATCCTTTCAGAGAGCTGTGTTGTCAAAGTACATTCCCCAAACGACATCGCCATCGACTGAGAACGGAAGACATTTTGAGAGAAATCTAACTAAGACAATAGTGAGGCCTAAATCTCTTTGGGTGAAATCCCAGGTAACAGACTATTTTTCATCCCCATGTTGAGGTAATAAAACTGCTTGGCTGGGGACACGCTGGTGCAAATTAGAAGACCATGGCGACCGTGGCAGCCAGCAAGGAAGCTGGTCAGAGTCTGAGATTCTCTGGAGAGGGAGCATCACAGCTCATCGTGATTCTTTGTGAGGTCTTCCCCATAGTTGGTGGCCTGGCTGCCGACGAACATGTTCCAGTTCTCCAGTATCTCTTCTTTGGTTAACTTCTGATCCTGTACAGGAAGAGGAATGGGGGAGGGGGAGAGGGGGAGAAGGCTTTTTAGTAGGGTGCCTTCATAATAGGGATGCTGTTATTCAGTCGTTTCAGTCATATCTGACTCTTTGTGACATTTGGGGTTTTCTTGGCAAAGATACTGGTGTGGTTTGCCATTTCCTTTTTGAGCTCATTTTACAGATGAGGAAACTGAGGCAAAGAGGGTTAAGTGACTTGCCCAGGGTCACACAGATTTGAATTCAGCTCTTCCTGACTTCAGGGTTGGCATTCTAGCCAGTGAGCCACTCAGCTGGGGATAAGGAGCTGGATTTGTGAGTTGGGAAGGACGAGGTTCAAAAAATCCCACTGTTATATGATTATGGAATGCACTGACTTTGCTGCCCTCTGCCCCACAGAATCCCTCATGTTAAACTCAGCTCAAAGGCTTCCCTTATTTCCCCAGTGGCTAGCGCCCTCCCACTCAAACACCCTTCTGTCTCGTCTGTACATACATGATTCTAATCATGCTGGGTCCTTTGAGGGAATGTAAGCTTCCAGAGGGCAGGCCTTTTGGCCTTTGTATCTCCAGCTCCTAACACGGTATCTGGCACACATGGCAGGTTACTTAACCTCAATGGGTCTCCTCATCTTTAAATGAGGGACTTAGACCAGATGACCTCTCAGGTTCCTTCAACTCCAAGTTTATCATCCTATGAACCTAGAACATCTTACTTGTTTTTAAGCCTTGCACATTATCTGGGTAGTTTCTCCTGGACCTCAGTTACCTCATCTATAAAAATGGGGGGTTTGTACCAGATGGCTTCTGAGATACCGGATTTGGAGTCAGAAGCCTTGGGTTTAAATCCCACCTTACTGTGTGATTTTAGGCAAATGACTTAACCTTTCTCAGCCTCAGTTTCTTACCTGTAAAATAAGGCATTGGGCTAGATGGGCTGAGATCCTTTCCTCCTAAAGCCTATGACCCTTTCAGTAATCCAAGTGAGAAGAACAGCACTTTGATAAAGGTCAGTGGCAACTCCATCATGTGGGCCAAGGTCAAAATGACCAAAACAAGAGACAACTTGAAGTGATCCTAGGCAAAGTTGGTTGGAAGCAAGAAACATTCCCCTACCTTGTCCTGGTCAGACTCATACACCAAATGCCTTGCCTCCGCTTGGGCATGGTCATAATCTTGGGGAAGAATCCAGTGCCGAATCTCCTCTTTGTCCATTTTCCCATCCTTGTTCAAATCCCGGAAATCTGAAAACTGCTCCCGTTCAGTGACCACCCAGTCCGGCTCTGGGCCATTCTCCTCATGGGCAAACATATCAGCTAGAAAGCAAAGAAAAGCTGTTTTTAAAATGTTCTCTTCACATAATACTACAACCGGTACACAAGTTAAAGATGGAGAAATCCCAACTGTGGGCTATTCCTTAGGGAAGGCATCAGCAAACCTAAAGATTTCAAGCCCTTTCCCTATTCTCCCCAAAGTGGATTCTGCTGAGATTGCTGGGTTAGCATGATGCAATGGGAAGAGCACCAGAGTTGAGGAGGAGGACCTGGCCTTGAACCCTGGGTTTTGTGCCTTTGTCCCTTCATTGGGCCCCAGTTTCCTTATCTCTATGATTGAGGAGGTCAAGCCAGATGGTTTTCATGGTCCCTTTATAGGATTATATATTTAGAACCCAAAGGGATCTCAGAAGTCGATGAGTCCAGCTACTCCATTTTGCCGATGAAAGGAAATGACTCACCCGGAGTCACACCAGTAGTAAGTTTCTTAGGTGTGATGTTGAAGTCAAGCCCGTGGACTCCCAAGTCCAGAGCTCTATTCACTAGGCTAAGAAGCTTCTCAGAATTTGAATCAGCTCTAGGCTTCTAATTTTGATTCTATAACTTTCCTCAGCCTTTCTAAGCCATACTTTCTTCATCTGTAAAATGCAGATATTAATACCCGCAATAATTATTTTTACAGGGCTGGCCTTTACTTAAACAAGTACATAAAGCATGTTGTTACTATAAAGCAGTACACAGACATACAGGCTTTGATTTTTTTTAAGATACCTAGACTGTACATTGTTTCTCAAGGGCCAACCTGTAAAACCATAAGCATGGCCAAATGGTATTGCTTGAAGGTATGGATTTAGCTGTTAGGAATCTAAGACGACATCTAGGCCAACCCTACCATCTTACAGCTCAGGATACTGACCTCCCTGGCTTCAAGTCCCAACTAAAATCCCACCTTCTACAGCCTTCTCCCATCCCTCTTAATTCCAGTGCCTTTCTTCTGTTAATTACTTCCTATTTATCATATATATAGCTTGTTTTATACATATAAAAATATATATAATATCCCACATTAGATTATATATGTATATGTATATATGGGACTGTCTTTTGCCTCCTTTTGTATCCCCAGTACTTAGCACAATGCCTGGTTAATAAATGCTTTTGTAGGCAGCTAGGTGGCACAGTGGATAGGGTGCCAGTCCTGGAGTTAGGAAGACTCCTCTTCCTGAGTTCAAATTTGGCCTCAGGCACTGACTAGATATATGATGCTGGGCAAGTCACTTGACCCTGTTTGCCTCAGTTTCCTCATCTGTAAAATGAGCTGGAGAAGGAAATAGCAAATCACTCCAGTATCTCTGCCAAGAAAAAACCCATATGGGGTCACGAAGAGTTGGACACAACTGAAATGACTGAACAAGAAGAACAACAAATGTTTATTGAGTGATTGATTAAGTGATTCACCCGAGGTTACACAAGCTTTAGGTGGAAGAGCTAAGCTTTGAACCAAGGCCTTCCAAATCCAGCATCCTTTGTGCCATACCATGCTTGGCTCGTACAAAAGACAAAAATGTCCCTTCCAGGAAAATTCAGCTCCCAGGGTCAGGTTCCCAGCTCCTCGCCATCCCTGGACAGAGTTCAAAAGGCCCTGGGCAAAAGGTTGTGAAGCTAATCAAAGAAGCTCCAGTGCTTGTTTGAATCAGCCGGCCACCTCCTGTCAACTCGATTCCATCACAACTGTCAATTTGATTCCTCCCTCCCTCCCTCCCTCCCCAACTCTGAACGCTTTCCTCAGTCATGTACCAGATGAGGGGAAGACGCCTGGTACACACACTTATAAGACACCTGTCAACAGCTGTTACCGCAGGGAGGGAGTGCCGCCAAATGTACTTTAATTACGGAGAGCGCAGGCTTGTCTGTTACTTCTGTTGGATGTGAAAGGCGTCCAGATCTTAAGGATAAATATGATTTATAATGATTAGAAAAGCTCCACTTTTAATTAGCATGACACGTGCTGGGCTGCAGCATTATATGATGACAGCCTTAGAGACAGACGAGATTTTAAACTTGGGCTTTCATGGATTGGAGCAAGCTTTGGAGAGGAGAGAAGGCATTGCAATGCGAACTTTCCAATCAGCTTCCTGTAGAAGGTAGGATTTTAGTTGAAACTTGAAGGAAGACTGGAAAGCCAAGAGGGAGAGATAAGGAGGGACAGCATTGATGACAGCCAGTGAAAATGTCCAGAATAAGGAGATCGAGATTCATTTAATGGAGGGCTCCTCTAAGGGGCTCTTGAAATATTCTACTTACAAAAACAGAACTGTCCTTTTTGGGGGGACACCACCATTATGTAAAGTGACGCATAACTGCAATTTTGCTCCAGCGTCCAGTCCTTCCAAGAGACACTGAGCCCTGGGTCTTCCCTGACCCTCAGCTCATCTCGTCCTCGCTACACATAGGTATGGAAGGGATAGCATGGTACAGGGGACAGAGGGCTGGACTTGCAATCAGGACAACCCAGCTGAACTCACAGAGGCGCTACTAGCAGCTCTAATTCAATACTTACCGATGTATTCATCCTGATCTACAAATCCATCCCCATTCTTGTCAATATCTTCCAATGTCTCCTGTGTAGGGAAGGTGGGAGGTGGGGGTGGGAAGAACAAAAATGAAAAACTTCTCCGATGTGAAAGTAGCAGATTTCCCAACTGCCTGGCTATCAAAGGCATTTCCTAAAGGGGGCTATTCTTTTAATACTGATCAACTCTTTCTTTCTTTCTTTCTTTCTTTCTTTCTTTCTTTCTTTCTTTCTTTCCTTCTTTTTAAGGCAATTGGGGTTAAGTGACTTGCCCAGGGTCACACAGCTAGTGTCAGGATGTGAACTCAGGTTCTCCTGACCTCAGGGCCGGTGCTCTATCCACTGTGCCACCTAGCTGCTCCTTGGTCAACTCTCAATGATCTGCACCAAAGTAAGGAATTAAGAGCACGGAAAAATCCTGAAACCAAGATTAAAAACAAACAAACAAACAAAACTATCCACCAGAATCAATTTTTTATTTTTGTAGCAAACTTAATATCCTAGCTGTGCTTTTTGGGCTTTGTTTAAATTTTTTCATTTCTATCTTTTGTTTTCACATTATCTACTGTTCCTGATACATTTTGACACTGCCCCATCTTTCCGGTCTTAACTCAAATCACTCCCCACCTTGTACTGGCTCCAGCCAAGCAGGTCTACTCAATGTCTTAGGTTCTGGTCCTATTTCTGGCCACTTCTGGGTCCTTGCTTGTTACTTTTTTTTTTTGTTTAGAAGGCCCTCCACCTTCCTGACTCCCCTCCCCCCCATTATACCTTTCTTTCAAATACCACAAATGATAAGCACCCCAGTAAAGCTTTCCCCGATCTGCTCTGATACTTGCTGCCTGCATAACTTTGGCCAGGTCATTAACTTTTCTGTGCCTCAGTTTTCCCATCTGAAAAATGAAGGGGTTGCACGAATGACCAGTAAGGTCCCTTCCCCAGCTTTAGTTCTGTGATCCTACAATTCTTTCATTCCCCAGTCCTAGCACCATGTTGTTTCTTACCAAGACCACAATATCTTTCATGTGCTCAAACTCCTCCGGGTGCATAAAGGCAGTGAATTCCTCTCGAGTAGCCGCTTTATCACCATCAAGGTCAGCCATGTTGAACCTCCTCTCGTCACGGGGCAGCATCTTCTTAAAAGTGTGTTGATCAGCTCCATCTCGAAATTCTTCTGGGTTCCCTAGATGACACATGAAGAAAAAAAAAGTAGGACATAAGCTCCCCAAGAGCAGGATTATCTTTGCATCTTCAGTGCCCATTATAGAGCCTGGCACACAGCAAGAGCTTAATAAATGTTTATTAGATTGGATATAAGTTGCATCACTGCTGCTTGAAAACTAAAGCTCCTTCTTCCTTTCCAACTCTTCAGTCACCAAGTTGAAGGGAGTATGGAAAAATGCTGGTTATGGCCAGATTGTGGCAGTCTCAAATGCCAGGCTAAGAAATACCATACAATTTAGGATGCTATGCCTATTTGTTGGTTAATTATGTCATGTATGTTAGTCTCCTCTCTTCCTTTCCCCTTTCCCTCCCCTTTTCATTCTCTTTTTCTTTCTTCTCTCTTTTCTCTCTTTCTCCCCTCTCTCTTCTCTCTCTTTCTTTTTCCTCTCTCTTCTCTCTCCTTTCTCTTTCTGTCTGTCTGTCTCTCTCACAGACGTATAGTTTCATTCCTGTAGGGAACTTACCTCTACTGACAGAGATGAGCAACTCATCTGCAACTTAGAGTTTTAGACCATTGCCTGGGGCAATTGCTCAGGGTATATGTCAGGGGTAGGCCTTGAACTCCAGGTTTTCCTCACTCTATTTTATTTTTTAAATTTATTTTGGCTAGGCAGTGGGGTTAAGTGACTTGCCCAGGGTCACACAGCTAATAAGTGTTATGTGTCTGAAGCCGGATTTGAACTCAGGTCCTCCTGAATTCAGAGCAGGTGCTCTATCCACTGTGCCACCTAGCTGGCCCAGGTTTTCCTCACTCTAAAGCTGACCCTCTGACTATTATGCCTCGCAGTGTATTAGTGTAATCTCTCCAAAATCTTAAGGTGGGACAATGTCTTGTATTTTTAAATTTTTTATTTTTATATTATTTTATATTTTTATTTAATTTTTTTTTAATATCTGATTGCCTAAGTGAATAGACTTCCTACCTTAAAAAATGTCAGAGAGAGAAGTACAAAAAATCAGCAGTAATCCTTCCTCAGAGAAGGGAATGAGGGATGGGAGAGAGAGATAATGTGTTTCCATGCCCCCCTCCTTTCAGTAGAGAGGTGGGGCACTATGGAAGCAGAATGCAATATACACCATCAAATGCGGTTGTTTAAATATTTGTGTTTTGTTAGAAAAAAGGGTTCAAGTTGGGGGTTGGGGAAAGTTTTTAAAAAGATGATGTGTTTCCTGAAAGAAGTAAGTGATTTTAGCCACCAAAAACGACCAACAGGAGAGCGTCTTACCCAAGTAGTAGCCATATGTAGCCTGCTTATACTCTTCCCAGGAAATCTTATCATCTTTGTTCCGATCATAATCTTTCCAGACTTTTGCCACATTCTCATAGATGTATCGTTTCTGTACCCGTTTGATCCAAGTTTTCAGCTCCTCAGTGGTGACAAAGCCATCTCCATCACTATCTATTCTGCCAACAATCTTTCTGTAATGAGAAACTGGGGGTTACTGGGAGGGCAAAGGTGGTCACGGCATGGGAGAAAACAGAAAACCTGACTATCTAAGCATCTCCAGTTCAGGAAAGCTGCCAGGCGCTGCTTTTGGCTGGACCAGCATTTCCCAAACTAATTTGGCCACGGAACAATGTGGGGCTTGAAACAGACGAATGGAACCCCATCGGTGCCTATTGGGGGAGGAATCAGAGGGTTTGGCGTGCCTCCCAAAAAAAAAGGAGGGGGAATCCTGGAGCAAAATAAGGCACTGGCTCTGTTTTCCCACTGAAAAGCTGTTGCACTGAATACATATTTTAAATAAATACATAATATTGTATTTCACATTTTAGAGGAGGAAATGGCAACAGCATGGGATTTTTCTCACTTAGTCACATCCTGTGGAACCCAGGGCTTCCCGTGAACAGTTTTGGATTTGGGAAAATGCTGGTGGGCATAATCATAGGGAAGACTGCACTTTGTACCTAACTTGTGTTCCTTTATTTAGACCTGTACCTGTGATTTCATTGTTGCTGCTGGAAACTCCCCCCAGAGAAGAATCCCACTTCTACCAATGCTGATCAATACCTGCTCCTTAGACATCCTGGGAGCCCTGAGAGTTTAAAGGATTTCCTTATGCCTTTATCAATCAACATTTATTAAGCACCTACTATGTACCAGGCACTGTGCTAATCACCGAGGATACAAAAAGAGGCAAAAGACAGTTCTTGCACTCTAAAAGCTTAAAACCTTATCAGTTAACTCATCAGACACTTAGTTTCTATTTTATATAGCAGTTATTATAAGTGTTTATTTCATTCCCTTCCACTGGACTGTAAGCTCCATGAAGGCAGGAACTATATTTTGCTGATCACTACAACTTCCCAGTCGATGCTCATTATGATTCAACAATGCAGAGAGGTCCCATTGGAAATTCCTCTACCAAGGCAGGTCTGAACCTTGCTCACTTACTGAAATGAATTTGTTGAACAGAGAAATGGAAGAAAAAATTTGGATGAGTACCAAATAATAACAGTAATGACAACTACTGGCATTTACATAGAGCTCTATAGCTTATAATGTGTGTTACAGACATTGTTCTATTAGAGTCTAATAATAAGCTTGTGAAGTAGGCACTATGGGTATCCCCATTTTATAGACATAGAGACTGAGGCCCAGAGAGATAAAGTGATTAGCAAAGGGTCACATATCTAGTAGGTGTCAGAGACAGGATTTGAAGCCAGAACTTCATTAATACAAGTCCTAGGAGTAAAGATATTTTATAGGACTTTTAGAAACTGCATTATTTGTGTTAGATACTCTACTGAGGCCTGAAGGCTACAAATCTGGTCCTGAGATGAATCACTCACAAAAACCCAAACTTCTCATATTGCTTGGTCATAATAACTATGGACTGCTTGGATTGTTATAACCCAGCCACCGCTTAGATTCTTAAAATGTAGCCAATAGCTCACTAATGTTTAGACTCTTTAAGAGTCTGCCCAATATGGTGAGTGTTCTAATAAACTTTGTCTTTGGGTGAAAGAAGACTTGGGTCGAATTCTTTCGGGCAGGATCTGCGTGTTGTGATTTTGGGGCCCTAGCACCCCTAAATTCCTAAACCTCTAGACCTCATCATGTGGTTCCCTGCACCAGGAAAAACTGTCTAATACCAAGCTCTTCACCAGCTGTGACTGGAAGATTTGTGTCTTCCAGACTACAAGCCATTCACCTACAGTTGGTAGCAAACAGTAAGTACCAGCTAATGTCCCCCCATTGTTCCCTGGATGCAGCCTGTGCTCGGTTCCAGTAAACCTCCTCTTTGGGACCCCCTCAAGGCAGGGACAGCTCTACTCCCCTTGCCAGCAGGAAGCAGTTTCAGAAGCCAAGCGCTTCGCCCTTTGCCCCAAAAGAATTTGGGTCCCATTTGTTTGAAGAGGGAATGATGGGGTTGGGATCTAGACCCCAGAAAGGAAAAACCCTAGACTTTCCCACATGGCCAAATCCCTGGCATTTGCCTGAGGCTATAATCCCATTAACTGGCCTTTCCTTGCAGCTATGCCCAGTTTCCCAATTCTGTTACCTCCCTATGGCCTCAGGCCACTTCCCACCTTTAATCCTATCTAGGCTCCATTCTCCCTCGGCTACATAGTCCCCTGGAGTTCTATTACCTCATAGACTACTTGGCCACTCCTGGGTCTCTCCTACAGTCTTTCTGTATATAAGGTCCATCTTGTCTCCATTAAGGTGCTTGGATTCTTATAACCTAGCCACTGCTTAGATTCTTAAAATCTAGACAATAGCTCACTAATGTTCAGACTCTTTAAGAGTCTGCCCAATATGGTGAATGTTCTAATAAACCTTGTCTTTGGGTGAAAAACAAAAAAAAAACAAACAAAAAAAAAACCAACAACTGTAGACTTTAGATCCTAAATAAACACTTTAGGCCACTTTTTTGTTCAGTCTTTTCAGTCATGTCTGACTCTCTATGACCCCATTTGAGTTTTTCTTGGCAAAGATTCTGGAGTGATGTGCCATTTCCTTCTCCAGTTCATTTTACAGATGAGGAAACTGAGGCAAATGGGGTGAAGTGACTTGCCCAGGGTCACACAGCTAGTAAGAGTCCAAGGCCACATTTGAATCCAGATAATCCTGACTCTAGGCCATTGCACCACCTAGCTGCCCTTAGTGTAGTATAGCATAGTAAGTAAAAGAGTGTGTCTGAGAGATAGAAAAAGCTGGGTTCAAGTCCCACCTTAGACACATATTTGCTGAATTATCTTGAGCAAATGACTTTTTTTTCCTTTTCATTTCCTTTTTTAATTTATTTTTTATTTCATTTTGGTAAATAGTATTTTGTTTTTTTCCAATTACATGTAAGGATTGTTTTCAGCATTCATTTTTTATAAGATTTTGAGCTACAAATTTTTTTCTCCCTCCTCTCATCCCCTCTCCCCAAGATGGCAAGCAATCCACTATAGTTATACGTGTGCAATCACGGAAACACAGCAAATCTCTTTTAATCCCTCAGCGTCCCAGGAAACTCTCCAAGACAGTCTCGCAATAGCTGCCAGTCTTCGCTGGCAGAGGGAGTTTATGCAACAAGAGCTCCCCACCAAAGAAATCACGGGTCTAAATAAAAAACCAGAGATAGAAACTAGAGACATAGTCCCAGAATCTCACTAGTTGAAAGGGGTCATGGGATCTGATCTGGAACTAGAAGGGGGCTCAGAGGCCAAGATAACCCTCTTAGAACAGCCCCTACAAAGTGTTCTTCTAGAATCTTCCAGGAGAGGTCTGCTGAGGGAGAACCCATCCCGCCTCTGAAAGCAGCCCATTCCCCTTCTGGACAGCTAGAATTCTCAGGAAGTTTGGCTTGACAGCAAGCCCAACCTGGACTCCTGACACCTGCCATGCAGAGATCCCACAACTCTAAGGGGGGCAAGTCTAATCCCTCTTCCATGTGACAGCCCTTCAGGTTCTTCAAACCACATCTCATGGCTCCCGAGCCTTCTCCAGGTTAAACATGCCTGGTTCCTCCAGCCAGTCCTGATATAGCATGAACCCCAGCCCCTCTGCTCCCCTCCTTCAGATGCTCTCCAGAGGAATGCAAGCAAGTCACTAATCAGTGGGCTGCAGGTCTCCCCATTTGACTGTAAGTTCCATGAGGGCAGGGCAGAGTGTGCTGGAGCCAGTTCACACTAGCTCACATAGCTGACTGGTAAGTTTTCAGTGAGAGCCTTTATACCTTGGAAATCAGCAAACAAAAATCAGGGCTTGATTTATTGTTTTTGTTAATTGTCTAGACTTAAGAAGGTGATAGAGGGTCAGCTAGGTGGTGCAGTGGATCAGCCCCAAAGTCAGAAGGATCTGAGTTCAAATCTGGCCTCAGATACTTACTAGCTGTGTGACCCTGGGCAAGTCTCTTAACCCCATTGCCTCATCAAAAGTGGAGAAGATGTTAATGATTTTTTTAAGAGTTAGTTGTTAAACATTGACCAACACATCCTTGGGGAAAGGACTGGGTTTTATTGATCTCTATGTGTTTCCAGGAAGGGGCAGCTAGGTAGTGCAGAGGATAGAGCACTTGACCTGGAGGCAGGAAGATCCAGTTCAAATATGGACTCAGACACTAGCTGTATGACCCTGGGCAAGTCACTTACCCCCTTTTTTGATCTCAATTCCTTGTCTTTAATATGGGGGCACACTAGAGAAGGAAATAGTAAACCACTCCAGTGTCTTTGCCAAGAAAACCCCAAAACGGGATCACAAAGAGTATGACAAGACTGAATGATTAAACAACACCAACGACATGCTCCCAGTAGGTGCTCAGTATGATTCTATCAGCATAAGAGCTTCCAGGAAGAAATTTCTCTTCCAGTGCAGGTCTGCGCCTTCTCTGGACCTTCTAGTCTTAGACAGCTGCTTAGGGCACTGAGACTTTGGTTAAGTGCAGCTTAGTTCTAGAGCACTGAAAGATTAGACCTCAATGCCTAATGCATTTATTATATAGTAGTTTTACAGAGTCAACACAATGATTATGTCAAAGGAGAAACTCAGAAACTCAGATCAGGTCTTCCTGACTCTGAAGGCCTGGGCTTCTGACAAGCGGCTGGAGGGCTCAGCCCACTGAGTTCTCAATTCCAAATTCCAAAATCCTTCTGCTTCAACCATTCCAAACATTTCTGATGCTCCAGGCCCACTAATGAATGGGTCCCCAGCCCTACAGAGCAGGGGCCTATCAAAGGCCTTCATTGTTAAGTCAGAACCAATGGGTGGAGTGGTTGAGTCTCTCTTGGTGAAAAGAATGATGGGATTGTTTGCACCTATGACTTTGAAGGCCAGAAATCCGTTTTTAGGGAGTTCAGTGACCCGAGAGACTAGATGATCACTAACTCTTCCAGTTAATTCAGCTGAGAATATCACCTTCTCATTTCCCTCCGATCCCTCAAACTCCTTTCTGACAGAGCTTGGGGGCTGCCTAAAATTTGAATTTGTCTTGGCGGCTGGACAAGGAGTTGCAGGGGATAAGGTTTAAAAAACAAAAAAAGTAACTTTCTTAAAATAGGGCTGAAGACTCCTCGGGTCAAAGTTAGACTTCTGCCTTTGTCATCTCCCTCCTGTCCCCTCCCCTCTGATGCAATAATGGGGGGTGGGAGGAGAGGCGGAGAGGGAGCTCTCTCCTTCCTTCCCTCCCTTCCTCTGCCACGTTATCAGGTTATCAGGTTATCTAGCCATGACCTATCATTTACCTCCAAATCCCCAGGGAAAAAGTATTGCTCACTGTCCCTGTGGACAGAGAGATGGCCTTGAAGTCAGGAGGTCCAGGGTTCAAATCCTGCCTCAGATACTTAATGCTGATGTAACCCTAGGCAAAGTCTGTAGCCACTCAGGGATTTAGTTTCCCCATTTGTAAAATTGGGATTTTACCTAGATTACCTACCTCACAAGGCTGCTGTGAGGTCTAAATGAGGTGATGTGTGTAAAGCACCACCTATCCCCATCCTGTCTAGGCATGCTGGTGGTCCAGTGGTCAGGGCTTTTCTGATTTACTCCCCAATCAGCTTCAAAATGACTATGCCCAAAGTTCTGACTCCTTCTGCTTATCATATTCCCTCTGGTGTCCAAACACACAGGCCTAAGGGAAAGGACTTTGAGTGGGGTGTAGTGGAATGACTCATACATCTGGCATCAGAGAAGCAGGGTCCAAATCCTGCCTCTGAGGCTTATTGCTTATGTGACCTGGGAAGTCACTGAAATTCCCTGTGCCTCAGTTTTCTCTTCTGTAAAATGAAGATGAAATGGTCTCTCCAATAATCCTTTCCCAGTCTGTGTCTACAATCCTATGGCATTCATCTGGGAAAATCTATGCAGCATAATGGAAAGAGGATTTGGAGTCAGGAGAGACCCAGCTTCAAATCCTGCCTCAAATACTAGGAGAGTATCCACAAGAGAGTCAATTAACCTTTCTAAATCTCTGCTTGCTTATCTGTAAAATGGGGATAATAACAGAGGAGGATGTTATGAGGATCAGGTGAATGGGAAATATTGTGAGAATCTTACCCACAATGCCAGTTATAATTGCCCTGAAGGATCCCCAGGTAGAATTCCAGAAATAATCAACCTACAGCCAAGTATTTCTCCCAAAGCCAAGACAGCAACTGACATTTATTATAGAGGCTTTTAAGGCTCACAAAGTGGTTTGCACACCTCATTTCATTGGATCTTCACAACAACCCCTATGAAGTAGACACTGTGGGTATTATTATCTCCTTTTTACAGATGAAGAAACTGAGACTCAGAGAGATGAAGTGAATTTCAGCATCAGCCCTATGGGATTCAGTGGTCCCAGGTTCAAATTCTAGCTCTGCTACTTACCACTTGGAAATCACAGCAAGTCATTTCTATGGGCCTCAGTTTCCTCATCTGGAAAATGGGAGGGTTGGCTCCGAAGCCCCTCCTGACTTTCTATCCATGATCCTGATTCTAAGCATCAGAAGTGGAACTCGAGCCCAGGGCTGTTCTGGCTCTGGGTCCAGACTTTTTCTGCCAGAACATACGCAGGACCCTAGCAAACCACAGCCAGTAATCGACACATAAGATTTTAGAAATCATTCGAGTTCAAAATCAATCTTTCATTTTCCAGGGGTCCAATCACCTCATAATAGCAATGGGTCAGTCACCTAATAATTTAAGGGGGAGTGGGGAGAGGGGTTCAGGAAGAACTTCTCCCTGGAAAATCCCAGGATGGAGAAATGCCGGCAAATTCCCAATTGTGGTTTCTAATTCTGTTGAGCTTCTGGTCACATTAACTAGCCCACACGTGGCCTCATGGCCACAGGTTCGCTACCCCTGACACTAGTGGCAAGCAGATAACAAGCAGTTTGGGGTAGTGGGAAGCTCACGACTTCAGAGCCTGGGCTGAATTCCAGCTTCTATACTTACTTATCTGTGTGACCTTGGGCAAGTCACTTCATCTCTCTAAAATAAAGGGGTGAGACTAGATGATCACTAACTCTTCCAGTTAATTCAGCTGAGAATATCACCTTCTCATTTCCCTCCGATCCCTCAAACTCCTTTCTGACAGAGCTTGGGGGCTGCCTAAAATTTGAATTTGTCTTGGCGGCTGGACAAGGAGTTGCAGGGGATAAGGTTTAAAAAACAAAAAAAGTAACTTTCTTAAAATAGGGCTGAAGACTCCTCGGGTCAAAGTTAGACTTCTGCCTTTGTCATCTCCCTCCTGTCCCCTCCCCTCTGATGCAATAATGGGGGGTGGGAGGAGAGGCGGAGAGGGAGCTCTCTCCTTCCTTCCCTCCCTTCCTCTGCCACGTTATCACTTATCAGGGGAGGGGAGAAGGGTTTCGTTTTTCTAGTGCAAACAAGTTAGGGGAGCACCCCCAGCCCAGGCTAGGCTCGGGATCCTTTGAGATCGCCCTGCCCACTGCGGTCCTCACTGCTCTCAGGGGCCTCTCTCAACTTCGTCCCAAGTTCCAGGCAGGCCCGGCCCGGTGGGCAGTCCCAACGCTGCCCTGCCCAGAGCCCTGCCCCCAGACCAGCCGGGTAGACGGACTCACTTTCTCTTTGCCCAAGAGGGTGCGGGCTCCTAGCACCTGCCCCGCAACTTATCCCTCGTGCCCCCGGGGCCCCGGCCTGCCCGCCTCACCCCAGCCTCTCCTTGCTCTCCTCCGGAGTGAGCTGATCAAACGTCTTGGATTCCTCCTTGCCCAGGAAGGCCTCGTGGTCGTACTGGAAGCTCTGGTTGTCCTCGGCGGGCCGCTCGCCCAGATCCGAATCGGGCCGCACCACGCGCTCCTTGCGCACTGTGGGTTTAGCCCGTAGCTGTCCGGGCCCCAGCAGCAGCAGCAGCAGCAGGAGCCCCAGGCCCGGGCAGCCCAGCGCCATGGTCTGTCCTGCGGCCGCCACCGGAAAGGAAGGACTGGAGAGAAGGGAGGCGGAGGGAGTGCTCTGCAGGACTGGGCCGGGCTGGGCTCGGATGCGCTGTGCTGAGCTCGGCGCGCTATCCAGTGCGCCCAGGCGCAGTCCAGGACTCCTCTTGCGCCGCGGGCAGGGCAGCTCCTAGGAGGAGGGGGTACAGGAGGAGGGGCGGGGACGGGAACTGGCTTGCCCTGCCCCCGCCCTCCAAAGGGCCCGCCCCTCCTGCCTGCAGGGGGCTGGCAAGGGGAGAATCTTCCCTGGAATGGGCACAGAGCGAGCTAGGGCTTTTGCACACACGTGCACAGAGCTGTGTCCATTGGACCGGATCCGGACTAGGCGTGGGGGCAGAGGAGGGGAGAGAGCAGCGCCACGTAGCCGGACTCGCTGGGAGGGAGAGTGGGAGGGAGAGCGCAGAGGGGCTGGGAGAGGGGGAGGTAGGGGCTAGGGGCAGAAGGGGGAATTGGGACAGGATAGAGGGAACTCAACCCAGAAAGACGAGAGCCAAAAAAAAAAAAAAAAAGGCACAGATGTTGGAAATGGAATTCCCACTCTTCACTTCCCCTTGTCTCCAAAACTAAATTCCACCCAGCCAGCATTGCAGTCTACGGCCAGGAAAATAAAGCTTTTGGAAGGCACTGAATATTTCTTGTTTTGCCCTCTCCGCCACTACACAACACTCAAACCGTAGTATCGTAGATTTAGACCTGAAAGGAACCTTAGATGCCAATACGCTCATTTTACAGATGAGGAAACTGAGGCCTAGAGGCGAGAAGTGATTTGCCCATGGTCAAAACAAGTAGGAAGGGGGCAAAAATTCAAATTTGAACTCAGATCCTTTTACTTCGAATCCAACACTCTTTCCACGGTACCAAGCTGCCTCCAGGAATAGAAAGTGGCTTAAATTACCTGGAGGTTGTCTCTTACACGGGACCACAAAGTAGCTAAGAAAGAATTTGAACCCGGGACTCTAAATTTCTGACTTTAACCCTGACAACAGTGCTTTTTTTTTTTTTTTTTCCGGTGTTCTTTTTGTATCCCTAACCCTTAGAACAGTGTCTTGCTCATAGTAGGAATTTAATTCAAATTCAATTCTGTTCAGTTTAACAAGTATTTATTAAGGACCTACTATGTGTGAGTCGGTGTTAGGCTGGGCCTGGAGATAAAAAGATTGTGAAAAAGTTAGTACTGAAGAAACTTACTTACTCCCGGGAGATTGGGGAAGGGTGGGCGGCAGAGGGGGAGGAGGGACAGAAGAGGTACTGTGTAAGTTGGTCAATCAACATGCATCTGTTAAGTTCTTACTCTCTGGGCCAGGCTCTAGGCCCTCAGGGAACTCAAATTCTAATGTGACTGGCAACCTGTAAATAAACATTGTTTGTCTCTCGTTTTCTTTTAAAAATGTATTTAATATTTTATTTTCTTACTAACTGTAAAAACAATTTTCAACATTAGTTTAAAAAAAACTTTGAGTTTCAAATTCTTCCCTTCCCTCCCTCCCCCTCCCCACTGAGAAGGCAAGCAATTTGATGTAGGTTATGCATGTGCAGTCGTGCAAAACATATTTCCATATTAGTCATGTTGTGAAAGAAAACACAGATCAAAAAATCAAGAAGAATAAAGAAAGTTTTCAAAAAATGTATATTTTGATCTGGATTCAGACTCCTTTCCAGAGAGAGAGAGAGAAGAAGAAGAAGAAGAAGAAGAAGAAGAAGAAGAAGAAGAAGAAG